TTATTACGACTATTATTATTACTATTATTACGATTATTATTTAATTTTTGTTCGGCCTATTATTTCGCGGGAAGGCCAACGGGCTGAATTTTGAGCTCAGACTGTGGTCTATAAGCTGGCGCGACCCCTCGTATATCGCCTATGCCAGATCCRCCTAGGCTCCGTGCGRTAGAACCTCAAAAGAGGGGCGACCCGCGGCCGCATTGGTAGGAGGCTTATCACCTTCCGTGGAGGGTCATAAGCCCCCTCCTTGCCATCGGACAGCCCGTCGCCCTATTTTTGAAAAGCGGAAAACGTCCGCTCGTATCTCGTTATGGGACCACGGTGTCGAGTCTGTAGTCCTGTCACTGGGGTCTGGGACTGACGGTAGCGTGAGGATTCGTCATGCTTGACTGTTGGGTTCTGGACTCGAGCACCCCTTAAATTGTTTAGTTTTAATTTACTTCACTATTTTAGACTTTTTAAAATTCTTGAATCTAAAAAGGGTTTGAAAATGACTAATATGAGTCCTTCATTTAGAACGCAGGGATCGCGGCAGGGAGCGATCCTATAAAAGAAAGGAGGAGGACAAGTTWAAAAAAAAARRAGTATATGAGAGATCATGCCGTGCCGTGTATTGGCAAGTTGAGGCGTGAGAGGTGAGTGGCGAGGGGAAAGTGCGTTAGCCGTCTGCTAGTGCTCAGAGTGTTGGACTGCGGTTATTCCAAGACGGCTCGGTCTCGGTTTTTGAGTGAAGAGGACGCAGTCATGGTGCGTAGTAACGGRTTAAACRACTATAGGCCGAGATGCATCCAGTCGCTCTGCAGGTGGGAGCGAATGTCGGGAGATGGGCCTACTGTGACGGCTATACTAGACTATAGGTACAGCAGACGAGAGGCAAACCTAAGGATAAACGTGGAAGGCGGACGAGAAGAGGAGATGAGAGCGGACCCAGGCCTGCAGATGGCGATTACAGAGGTCAGGGACCGCGCAGAAAGGAGATGCCTACGGGATGGGGTCATTGATGAAATAAAAGTGACTGTCACTTACCTGGACAGGGGGACCTCGACGWACACCGTGGAGCGAGAGCAGCGGCACCTGGACCGCGACTCAGAGACGGAGAGCGAGGCTAGTGACCGGGAGACTGACCTCCAGTCCTGGAACAGACCGGACCAGGTTCGCAGGAAACATCCTCAGGCGCGACCAGCTGAGGAAGGCCCAGAGGCCAGCTCGCGGCGACAGRGGCCCAGAGGGCGCGAGACAGAAAGGGCGAGAGGCAAAAGGGAAGAAAGGTGTGTGTGATCGTAACGAAGAGAGAGAGAAGTCCCTCAGAGGTCAACTCGTGAAAGAGAGAGATCACTAAGGGGTGCGTAACTTCATGGAGGAGGTCAATGTTGGTCCCGCGAGCAAGCAKAGCACGAGAGTTTTCATGTGCAAGACTCAGAAAGGAGGACCGAGCAAAAAAGCKGGACGCGAGCTTGTAAAGTGTTGTTGACATCAACCGCTGCCTCAACGTTCTCACATGACGTTTTGCGCATGCGGAGTCTGTTGAGAGTTGCCTGTAAATCAATGCAAGACGGCAGGAGAACCACGCTGTCGAACGCATCGGTCCGACACCGCACAAGGGCAACGCGGGACCCTCCCGGTCGTGTCACGCATGAGTTGGTTTAAATCCTCTTTGCAATATATATATGGAGCTTCTGCAAGCCACTCCGGCCGAGTGCGCCAGCCATACCTCTCCCGAGCCCCTACGACAGGATGGGGCCTACGCGAGGCACGATTTACCTCCACCTTACGGGAGTTGTCACCTCCCTTCGGTGGGCGTATCCCCGCCGAGCTACCAGTCCACAGTACGAAGGTTGATCAGTTGCAATCGCAGAGGTGGACCAACCGAGGGCATTTCTCGTTCGCTGTAGCATAGGGGGTACGAGCGGTACTACGTCTCTATCGGACCCGCACGTGAACCGACATCTTGGGGGGTTGAAGTCCCGAGCGCGATTCGTCGTCAGTCGAATAGGACGCATCCCACTTACCACACATACACCACTCTACGAACGCAAAAATAAAACACATACACCCACACATCATACAACATATACAAACGGCCCTAGACGAACAACGCGACAACAGTTATAGTCCCTTAGCGGCCGTCCCATAATTCTCCGATGCAGGAATCGGATAAGCGTCGTGCGCGAGACTTAGTATAAAACCGCGCGGACGCAGGGCTAACTCATATCGACTTGCGATGCAAGTGTACGCAAGCGATCCCRATGATGRCATACTATGTAGTACCCATACTCACGCGATCCTCGTTAATCTCGAGGGTCGCATTCGACACTCAAGTGTCGGCTGACACACGCCTTGATGGTTAATCTCTCGACGCTGGACAACCGCCAAGTGTGGTTGAGAACCACACCCTCTTCTGCACCCTGCGGAGAGTGGGTGGTAYACAGGTTCATACCTGTGGCAACAATCATCTCTTATAGCCTTGGAGACCAACTCCTTCCCCTAGGGCCTGGAGAGAAATCAAGGGGTTTGACTTTGACGGCTGCCACGGACTAGAACGCCCAACCATAGAAGCTCTAAAAAGCAAAGGATAAAAGAGGATCTCCCTCTTCTCTCGAAAACATAATCTGTTTAACCATTACGCGTGGTCACAGTAGGCCATGCGAAACACTAAAGACATATGTATTTACATATATATAWAGGGTTATAAATATRTGACGATCACTTCTCACAATCACAGTGGAGCTCCTCTCAGCCATATATATATGTATGTGAGCGTAGGCAGACAAAATTCAAAGTCCGAATCACCAAACATACCTCCAATCACATCAAAGATTCAACCAAAAGTCCGTGCACTACACGGGGTCAACTTCAATCATTCTCTGCACTCACACCCCTTGCTTTTAGCCATACAAGCCTCACTCTTGTGCAACTCCTCAAAATAAAATATTCA